TTGGGGAAGGGGGAATTTGTCCTGTATTCTGCAAAGTCTGTTAAACAACTTAAGAATCAGTGAACATAAACAGTTCTTGTGTATCAACTGCTTTACTAGGAACTGATGATGATGAAAATTGATTACAGGGGCTGGGGCTGGGGCTGAGCGGTAGAGCGCTCAGCTAGCATGCTCGAGGCACTGGGTTTGATCCTCAGCACCACATAAATGTAAAATAAAGATACTGTTTCCACTTAAAACTTAAGAATAAATATTAAAAAAGAAAATTAATTACAATTCTGAGAAATGAAAATCCTTGAATTTTAACATTTCTTATTTACAGAAGCAAACAATCAGACCTTGAATAATTGACCCATTCTCTAGAATATGAATATTGTATTCTCACTGCAAATGTAAACTTTATATTCGTTAATCCAGCTGTTTGAAAATTACCATAGAAATACAGACAACTAAAGGGAGTTAGTGTATTACTATATCAAATATTTTTAAGATAACATCAAAATTATATCATTGAATGAAAAGACATCTCATGATCATGGATTGGAAATCTTAATATTATAAAGATGGCAGTACTACCCAAAGAAATTTAAAGATGCAATGAAATCTCTACCAAAATTCCAGTGACATTTTTTGCAGAAATGGAAAAAGTGATCCTCAGATTTATATGGGATTGTAACAGACCCTGAATAGTCAAAATAATCTTGGGAAAAAAATGAAGTTTAAAGACTCAGGTATCTCAATTTCAAAATTTACAACAAAGCTATAATAAAAACAGTGTGGTGCTATCAATATGGATAGACATAAAGATCAGTAGAATAAAATTGAGAGTCTAGCAGTAAGCCCATATGTCTATGGTCACTTCTCTCTCTCTTTTTGGTACTGGAGGTTGAACGCAGGGGTGTTTTACCACTGAGCTATATTCCCAGCCCTTTTAAATTTTGAGGCCAGGTCTTACTAAGTTGCTTAGGGCCTTGCTAAGTTGCTTAGGGCCTTGTTAAGTTGCTGAGACTGTTCTTGAACCTGTGATCCTCCTGCTTCAGCCCTCCAGAGTTACTGTAATTATAGGCATGCACTGCCATACCTGGCATGGTCAATTGATTTTTTTTTTTTTTTTTGTGGTGCTGGGGATTGAACCAAAGGCTTGTGCATGCAAGGCAAGCACTCTTCCAAATGAGCTATTTCTCTAGCCCAATCAATTGATTTTTGAGAAGGATATGAAGACCATTTGATAGTTGAAAAAAAAAATCTTTTCAACAAATGGCATTGGGACAATTGGATTTTTACAAGCAATAGAATGAAATTGGACCCCAATTTCACACCATATACTAAAGGTAATTAAAAATGGATTAAAGATTGAATTTTAAGACCAAAAACTATAAATTCTTAGAAGAAAATATATGGGTAAATCTTCATGACCTTATATTTGATAATGGATTCTTAGTGATGACATCAAAAGCACAAGCAATGAGGTCAGACTTGGTGGTGCTCACCTGTAATTCAAGTTATTTCAGAGGCCAAGGCAGGAGGATTTTAAATTCAAGCCAGCCCTGACAATTTAGAAAGACCCTTTCACAAACTTTAAAAATAAATAATTAAAAAGGCTGGGGATGGGCTGGGGTTGTGGCTCAGTGGTAGAATGCTTGCCTGGCATGTGCAGGGTGCTGGATTCGATCCTCAGCACTGCATAAAAATAAATAAAATGAAGGTATTGTATTCAACTACAACCAAAATGAATATTAAAAAAAAGAAAGGCTGGGGATGTAGCTCAGTGGTAAAGGGCTCCTGGGTTCAATTTCCAGTACCATAAGTCAAACAAAAAACCAACAAACAACCCATATGCAATGAAAGAAAAAAATAAATTAGGCCACTTCAAAATTTAATTGTGCATCAAAGGACACCATCCAGTAAGTTGAAAGAAAACCTACAAAAGAAGGGGGAAATCATTTGCATATCTGAAAAGGGCCTAGTATCTATAATCTTACAACTCAACAACAAAAAGACAAGCAAACCAATTAAAATATGGACAAAGGGCTTAAATAGACATTTCTCCAAAGGACATATACATGAAAAAATACTCTGCACCTTTAGTGATTAAAGAAATGCAAATAAAAACTACAATGAGATACCACTTGATACCTACTAGGATGACTATAATTTTAAAACAAAACAGAAAATTATGAGCATTGGTGAGGATGTGGAGAAATTAGAATCCTTGAACTTTGCTAGTGGGACTGTAAACTAGTGCAGCCACTAGTGCTTGTAGGACTGAAAACAGTTTGGTACTTTCTCAAAAAGTTGAATATAAAATTACCACATTTTCTAGTAATTACACTTGTAAATGTGTACCCAAAATAATTGAAAACATGTATTCAAGTAAATATTTGTGCACTTATGTTCATAGCAGCACTATTAACAGTGGCCAAAAAGTGGAAATAACCCAAGTGTTCATCAATGGCTGACTCAATGGACAAAATGTGATATATTCGATAACGGAATACTTAACAGCCTTAAAAATTTTGAAGTGGGGACACACACTACAATATAGATGAAACTTGAAACACTGTGCCAGTTCAAGAAGGCCAACGCAAAGAATTATTATATGATTGCATTTATATGAAATTCCCAAAAGAAGTAAATCTGTAGACACATAAAGCATAATAATGGTGTCGGGGGCTAGAAGAGGGGGAATGGAAGTGGCTGTTTAATGAGTATTGAGTTTTTGATGAAAGTATTTTGGGACTAGATAGAGGTAATGGTTGCACAGCATTGTGAATATTCTAAATGCCACTGAATTGTACATTTTTAAATGGTTAATTTTGTGTGAATTTTACCTCAGTTTAAAAAATTACATCATATGGTTTCTATGATCTCACAAGGACGGGTGGCTTTGCTGTCATAGTTACCTTGTGACTATTGGAATCCATATGTTTTGTAGCATTAGTGCATTGGGAAGTTCTTTCCAACTGTGGGCAGGAAATCTTGAAGACAGACAATCCCAAATGGGTTTCTCCTATAATAACAATTAAGGAATGTAGTTTTGCTTTTTCATGTTTATTTGTTGAATCTTGGAAAACTTCTACCTTGAATGGGTCCTGGGTTATTTTAAAATGTAATCTAGACTGGGTATTGATTGGTTTCCATTTAATTTGAAAAGCATGTTTAAAATAACTCCATATTATTTGGAAATGGAACAGTTTTTGGTTTATGAAAATATATAGTAATTTTTTAAAAATCTTAGAAATATTTATGGAATTGTAATCATATATTTATGGAGGTTTTATATATTGCAGTAGTAGGAATTTTGTGACACTTTATAAAACTTTTGCAAATGCTTTTTATTGTCAGTAGAATTGGTGTCAGGAAAAGCAAAATTCTGTTTTCAGATCAATCAAGCAGAGTTGTATAAAAACTTAAAACATTTTTTAAAAACTTATGTCTCTCTTGATCTTTTGAAGTTGGAACCTTAGATTGTATCTGGCAAAAGATCTGAACTTGAGCAGAACTTCCTACTCAGAAAAACAGGAGTGCTTTGCTATAGTGGATTGAACCCACAGCTTTTGACATTGTGATCATTAGTTCTAATCGACTACAGAATAGAAGAAATGCCTTGCTTAAGGAGGGCTTCCAGATGTTAAAGTTAGAAGGGATCTCGTAAGCATAGAAAAATACCTGAAATAAATGTAATTAGCTGAAGTATTTTGTGTATATGAATAATTAGCTTTAAATAATTATTGCTTTTGATTTCCACCAAATTTAAAATATTTCCTTTTTCTAATGTTCAAAGGGATAATTTCTTAAGTGAGAAAAGGCCAGCTTTTAAGTTGTAGAGAATTAGAAGGTAGGTTTTTCAATAAATTATTAATTAGGAAAAAATTTCAACAAAAGCTAATTTAACTAGAAATGGAGCTATTTAATTAGACATGCCAAGAAAGCAGTAAAAGAAAGTGAAATAGGTGGATGAGACTTTATCTTACCATGAAATTATATTTATTGAGGGACTCCTGCCTATGAAAAGCAGCATAGCACATAGTGCATTTCCTTGGGTAGTCTATGTAACTAACCTTTCTATACCTCATTTCCTTATCTGGGTGATTAGAATAATAGAATCTACCTGCTAGGGTTATTATAAGGATTAAATTAGTTAATGAGGTTAAAGCTTGTTAGTACAATACTTGAAGGGCAAACCTGTTTATATTCACAGACGCTCATAGTCCCCCTCTGTAGTGTACCAAGTTCTGGATGTCTGTTTGAAGTTCTGACACCTTCCCATATACTCACACTGGGACTGTTTTACTGTTAATGGGTGTTTTAACCAAAGGGAATGCTTTGGAGAAAAAAGATCTCAGGAGCAGTGTTTTTTTCCAAGTGTTTCCCAAGTAATTTTAAGATCACATGAAGCATCTCTCTGGTGGTTTGTTGAAAATCTATTTATTGTTTCATTTATTCACCATGTATTACTGTGTGCTCAACATTGGCACTGGGCAGAATGGAAAAACATAGGAATAAGAATCAGAGACAAAAAATGTAGCGAACAGAGTAGTTAAGCCTGGAACTTACAGTATGAGCCAATTCTGTAGCTCATACTAGGAAACTCCCAGGGCTTTGAGTATAAAACCATGAGAGAGTAGTATATCCTTCAGGGTGTGTGCATCCTTGAAGTTTAAGGCTACCTCTCAGTTAATTTTATTATTTCTGCCAAGCCACCTCAAACTTAGCTAAGAGAGGAATAAAAACTCATTGATGGGGAGGGGAATGTATAAAAATTACAGGTTTTAATGAATCATTTTGTTCTGTTTTCCTTACTTCCATTTATATGTTCTATTTCCATTAGAATTTTAATAGTTTTAAATTACTAGTTTGTATTTTGATAACTTTTTAAATTCTTCCCACCTTCTATTTGTATATAGTTATAAAATGAATTAGGACATGAGATTAGATAACTCAGCTTCCTAGAATGTGCCTTCTCTTCTTGTGAAGTGATGATGGTCATTCTTTTATAGAACTGAATTGCAACTGCAGAAGTAACAAGTGACCCTTTGAAGATGCATGTGCGACTGCATAAAGTGAAGGGGAAACTGGAAATAACAATGAAGTAAGGGAAAAGTATGCTTCTCAGGTAAGTTATGTGCTTCTGAATTTCACCCAAATTCTTTGCTATATCAATTACTAAAATTTTGTAACACATAAGTTGTTATAATCATATTTAGTCTTTGTATTGCTATTAAATATTCTTTATTTAGTCCTCCCCAGTTTTTTTTTATGGACACAATACATTTATTTTATTATTTATTTTTATGTGGTGCTGAGGATTGAACCCAGTGCCTCACACATACTAGGCAAATGCTCTAACTGAGCCACAAACCCAGTACTCCCCACTGTTTTTATCCCTGAGCTCTTTGATCAAATTATTCCTTTTTGGATCAATCTAAAAATATGAATTCAAAGTATAACTAGGTGATTTCTTGTTATACTGTAGGTTAACCATTGGATATCATAAAAGCAGAGTTGTGTATTGTGTCTCTTGATGTGTTGATTAGGCCAAGTGTCAGTTTTTAGTTTGAATGCAAAACTTGTGCTTTGAAAACTAGTTTTCCAAATCTTATTCTCTAACTACAATATGTGTGGCACTCTGGCATAGGAAAAATTTTTAATAATTTAATACAAAGGATAAAGACTACCAAGCATGGTGGTGCACCCCGGTAATCCCAGGTTCAGGAGGCTGAGGTAGGAGGATCGCAAATTCAAAGCCAGCCTCAGCAACTTAGTGAGGCCTTAAGCAACTTAGTGAGACCCTTCTCTAATAAAAAATGGACTAGAGATATGGCTCAGTGGTTAAACGCCCGGAGTTCAATCCCTGGTATCAAAAACAAAAAGAAGACTAACACTCAGTATAAATAGATATATACTTCATTTGATGAAACAGATACACTCTAGTAAACTTTTTAAATAAAGGAAATCTTTTACATTATTTTCCTCTATGAAGTTAAGAAACTTTCTCCAGTATGTTGGATAAAAATTTTTGGAAGGAAATGGAGACAGAGTCATTGATGCTATAGGATGCTGGGAGTTATGTACTATAGTATTCTCCAGACAACGCCATGGCAACATCATTCCTGCGCAGACTTGTGGTAATTTCCCCGTAATTGTAACCTCTGGAACTTTCTGCTTCATGATGGTGGGGGGGTGGGGTTTTTTCCTTCCCTGTGGTTCAGTAATGGATTATAGCAGGACTATTCTTGGATATATAATATCTTCCAAGCCTGATCATTCTTTAACTCTGAGTTTTAAAGTTGAGTAAAACTATTTAGTGGCATTATACATCAACCCTCTAACAATGGTATAAGACAAGTTTCTTGTACATACGTTTTCTTTTTCTTTTCTTTTTTTTTTTAAAGAGAGAGAGAGAATTTTTTAATATTTATTTTCTAGGTTTCGGCGGACACACAACATCTTTGTTTGTATGTGGTGCTGAGGATCGAACCCGGGCCGCACACATGACAGGCGGGCATGCTACCGCTTGAGCCACATCCCCAGCCCGTACGTGCACTTTTTAATGCGTACCCTTACCCTGACTCTGCTCTTGTTGAACTTCAGTTAGTCTAGAAATGTTCCTGCTTCCAGACCATTGTACTTGTTTTTCTGCCTGGAATCCTCTCCTGCCAGAAATCCACAGGATTCCTGTCATCTCCCTCTAGGTTTCTGTCCCCAAATTACCTTATCAATGATGCCTTCCATGACACCATCAATTGAAATTGACATTATTCAAACCCTTGGCATCACTCTATCCTTTTAAATTTTCTCTAGGTCACTTACTAACGTTTGACTGCTATACAAATACTTGTTTATTGGCTGTCTCCCTGCCCTCCCTCCACACCCATACACCTCAACTGCCTGAGCTCCCCAAGGGCAAGAACTTTATCTCCAGGATCTAAAACAGTGCCAGAGAATAGATGCTTAGTAGGTGTTTGTTTAGGGAAAGAATGAAGCATGCTTATTTATGTTAGGAAGATGAAGTAAATTTAGAGATCATGTGATTGGATTGAAAATGATGAACAGAAAAACATCATGGAGGAAGCATCTTAAATTGTATATTAAAAGTCTAATAAAAAAGAGGGCTTAAATGCCATAGTCAAAAATAGCTTTTTAATATGGAAGATAATTTGTATTCTACTTCCAGAATATAAATGGCAGATCAGATATTTATACCAAACACCAGACATGAAATATTACTTAAACAGAAATGTCTAGGAAAGTTTTGGATGGTAAAATATAGGGAGTTAAGCAAAAAGAGAGTTGTTCCAGTGGGAGGGGCCTTGAAAGAATATTGCACTTAGGACAGAGGATATCAGATAGGCCCTAGCAATGCCTGTTGGGTTAGGGGTCTGGTAGGATGGGGACATTGGGTGTGATGACTAGAGTTTGAAGTGGGAGGAGGTAGGTGGCAAGAGTAAAGCCATGTTGGAATTACAGAAATTTTGTTTGAGATCCATCTCTTACCTACTTCCTGGTAACGCTGAGCCATCTTGCCTAACTTCAGCTTACTTGGTCTCTCCCACTCCACTCCTACCTATATGTGATGATATTTTGATATCATGCTTTTTCTTTGTCATATTTAAGATCTTTTTAAAATAAATCTCTCACTTTAAAGATGCATACCATTTGACTCAACAATTGCATTTGTGAGAATTTATCTTGCATGTAGCCTCTACAGGTATGTATGTAATCCTGGACCACCTAAGCCTCTGTCAAATTCTCATTCATGCTTCCCATTTTAACAGCACTTGGGCAGAGACTAATGACCTCTCATTTCCATCAATCTATTGAGGCTGTGGGTCATGTCCCCCTCCATTGACTTGGGTATTGGTTTTTGTATAAACTGCAAACATTAGCATAGGAGCTAACTGTGTCTCCTGTCAAGTTTCCTCTTCTAAATTTCAGCAGTGTTTCTCTTCCCATTTGCAAATTCAAATAGTTACACATTTTGCATTGCATTTTTAAGCTCTTCCAATAATTGAATATACAATTGTAGGCTGCACAGTAAGTCACCTGAGAAGCTTTATAAAATATTAATATCTGATCCCTCCCCTAGAGGTTCTGAGGCATTTTGTCTGGGGCAAGTCATAGTATTGACAATTTTTAAAAGCTTCTTCCCTGGTTGATTTTTCACATGTACTCAAGTTTGAAAATCAGTAATATTCATGATTTTTTTCCTTATTGGTGATGGCTCTGATCACTTTAAACTCATCATAACCATTCAAATGATTCATTTAGTTTTTATAGGTATACAGTGGTATTTATTGAATGTAAAAATAGTTTATCTCTGCCTTTATTTGTAGCTCTTATTCATTTTTTTTAATTTTTAAAAATATTTTTTACTTGTTGATGTACCTTTATTCTTTATTTATTTATATGTGGTGCTGAGGATTGAACCCAGTGCCTCACACATGCTAGGCAAGTGCTCTGCCACTGAGCCACAACCCCAGCCCCTCTCATTCATTTTTATGTTGCTTTATATTGTCCTATATATAGTGTCAGAAGTTCCAACTTTATTTATTTTTTTAAGGTCCTGGGGATCAAACCCTGGGCCTTGTGCATGCTAGGCAAGAGCTCTACCCCTGGACTGTTCTTCTAGCCCCTGATACTATATTAATTAACAGTGATATGATAGAAAGCTTCATCATTTTGTACCTATACTTAATGACAGCATATTTTTTTTTTACATTTAGTTTTAAATAGGTACTTCAATCAGGGTAAAAATATATATATTTTTTATTAGTTTTAGAATCCTTACATTAAAAATAGCTGTTGGATTTTTGTTTTTGTTTTGGTACCAGGGATTGAACCCAAGGGTGCTTATCCACTGAGCCACATCCCCAGTCATTTTTATTTTTTATTTTGAGGCAGGGTCTCGCTAAGTTGCTTAAAGCCTTGCTAAATTCCTGAGGCTGGCTTTGAATTTGCAATCTTCATGCCTCAACCTCCCAAGCAGCTGGGATTACAGGCATATACTACCATACTCAGTACAACTGCTCAGTTTTAATGAATATACTTTTAGTGTCTGTTGACACAGTTAAAAAATTTAATCTATTCCTAAATTCTATTTACTATTATTTCTTTTAATGTTTTGAGTGTGAAAATTCTGAGTGAGCTTTGTACATTTTTCTTTTTTCCTTTTTTTTTTTTTTGATACTAGGGATTGAACCCAGGAGTGCTTAACCACTGAACCACATCCCCAGTCCTTTTTTGTATTTTATTTAGAGACAGGATCTTGCCAAGTTGCTTAGGGCCTTGCTAAGTTGCTAAGTCTTGCTTTGAGTTCAGAATCCTCCTGCCTCAGCTTCCTGATCTGCTGGAATTATAGGCATATAATTCCCACCATGACACCATGCCCAGCTCTTTTTTCATTTTCTTTAGCCAGTTTTAGGATCAATTTAGAAGACTAAACTAGATAACCTATATTTTGACCTATTTTAGGCATGATTTGTACAATGTGAATTATTTCTGAAGTGTTTGAAAGGATTCACTAATAAGGTATCAGAGTAGCTGCTTTGGGGGAATATACTTATCAGAATTTTTTAAAAAGATGTTGGGTGTTTTATTTTTGTCAGCATTAGAAATGTGTGTGTGTGTGTATTTTTTGGTTGTAGATGGACACAATATCTTTATTTATTATTATGTGGTGCTGAGGATCAAACCCAGGGCCTTACACATGCTAGGCGAGCGCTCTACCACTGAGCCACAACCTCAGCCCCTAGAATTATATATTTTTATTAAAAAATCAATCTATTCAGTTTTATCCAAATTTATTAGCACATATATAGTATTACTATTTTATCATTTTGTTGCTTTTTGTGTCCAGTTTTTCTAATTTTATGTGTTCTCTAATTCATTTACTTTTAGAATTTTCACTTTTCACATAGTCACAGGAATTTTTAGTTGAAATATAAAAATTTTAAAAATACAAAAGGATATAGTAAAGAGTCAGTTTTCCATTCATTCCTATCCTTAGGCAAACAATTCCCTCTTAGACAGCAACTCTTGCCAATTTGTTAATGAACCCTTCTAAAGTGTTGTGGTTTTGGCTTCAAAATAACTATTATCTTTCTTTTAGAAAAT